CCACTGAGTCTCAGCCTCACTCTGGGTTTTTCTTCATAATGAACAGCATACCTGAAAATTCTCTCCTGGCATCTTTTTAAAGAACTCCCTTTGTTATGCCTTTGGAAAATACAGAACTAACAGCTGAGAATTTCAGCAAATGACCAGAGGGACCATATACCATTAATAAAAATGGACTGGAAAAGGCTGCACAGCAAAAATAATATTTTCAATCATGGAGCTATTTTCTGTCATCTTTGTGAGGCTCAGTAAAATGCGCCACAACTTCCAAAAATTCCCATTCAGTTGTAACAGTATTAGAACATGAGTAATCTTTGTGTCGTTAAAGTTTCTGAGTTTCTGTTTGAATAATCTCTTCCTACTGCCTGCGCTGGTAACCTTAAGCCAGTAATTGAATAACCCAAGTGGATGTTGGCAGCTTCTGCCACTTGGTGGAAAAGACAATGTATTTTGCACTGTAATATGAATGTGAATAAGTTTGGTGGCAATTTTATATTGTTTATTCTTTAATTCATTGGAATTTTATTTGTTGGTTTGTTCATTTTTGCTTTCAATTTCAAAATAACGCTTGGTTTTATTGCTTTGGATGCTTAAAGAGGAAATATGGCATAAGAAATAGGCTTTTATTTCATTAAATCAAGCCCAGAGGTAGTCTGAGAGATCATGGAAACCAATATCCTTGACTCCAGGAGTTCTGACTACATCGAATTCTATTCTTAAAAGCCATCCAGCAAAGAGATACCCAGACTCCCAAAATCTCCTTTAACAAAATTAAACAGGACTCACCATGACATCATGTTTCCGGAGTCGTCTGTAATTGCATCAGCCCAAAAGTCACTCCTCGGTCTCTGTTATGTAGAAGCGGGAGCAGCTGCACCTGTCCCAGTTGTTGGCGAGGTGTAGCAGCCTGGCAACAGATTGCTCCCCAGCCAGGCTGCTCCAAGTGTGTGGCTCTGGGTTGTCCAACTCATACGTGTTTCACAAAAGCTTCAAGGTCAACAAGCTGCCTGCTTGATGGACGTGGGAGGATGTGGAGGTTTTCAAATGTGGGATGGAGTCCTAACAATTAATTAAGTGTGTAATTAAGTTTGCAGTGTGGTTAGGCAAGAGGATTGCTGCAGACATAAAAATATGAGTGTGTCTGAGCCCAGGGATTCAAAGCTGAGTGACAGATCGGGGGGATCAGTAATTTCTAGGATGTCCACAAGTGTTTTCAAGTGCCAAGCTTCTCTCTGCCCATCCTTGCCAGTTCCTTCTTCTTGGCCATAATTTCCACCCAGATACAGTCCAGTGACTTTCTCCCAGCCACCCCCTCCTGTAAATGCTAAGGAGAAAAGATGTGGTTAGGCGGTTCCTCTTCTAAAGGGGAAGAGGGCAAGGAGAGTCTGAGCCCTTGGTGCCCTCTGAGACCAGGAGGTAATTGAGCACCATGCGCCCACCTGCATTGTCTTCTGAGCATTTTTTCTTGAAAAACAGGAGAAAGAGCACTTCAGGCAAAGAGCAACAGTGTACTAAAGCTTATTCGTAAAGGGTCACAGAAACCTTTTTACTAATGTATTTAGCAGACCACATCCATAGATTTCAGATTTCACCCAGCTGTTGATAACCTGTAAGCCCTCCATCAAGGTGGGGAAGTGTTTGTACAAACCTTTGTACAAACCCCACCCAGCTTCCTGCCACACTCCTGCATAACCCCAGATCTCTTCTATGAAGGCATGTTCCCGGATGTCTGGAAGGTGCAGACCTGATTGTATATATTTATAAATGCATTTTAGTGAGAATGGTAAATCTAACCCAAATACAAAATTATATGTTCCAAATCAAATATAATTGGCTTTTGGATTATCCATTACTGGGATCCTTCTCTCCACAATCTCTCAAATATGTGCCCATAACCCACGGTTAACTGTGGCAGTGGGTGGCGAAAACAGTGGTTCCTTTCTAAGTTAATTGAATTAACAGCACCGTCGATGCCACTTTGAGCACAGCCCCCCAACCCCAGTCATGTTCAGTTTAACAGCACCTTTCCGAAAAGCCTTAATTCATAAGTGCCCTCTTATGTTTCATGTTCTCGGAGGGCAGCTCGGATCAGATGCTTAGAGATGCTCTGTTCAATATTTTAAGTTGGACACCGCATGGATATTTTTGTAGCAATATTGGTGGTTCAGAAAAGAGAAGAAAATGTAATGATTTTGCTTATCACATGAGAGTGCCTCTGCCACCTTTTGAGCAACACAGTTAAACCCTTGCTAATTTTATCCTAACCATAGAGAATGCTGTTGCCGATCACCAGACAGCGTGCATTTACAAGTAAGATAATAAACATGATTTTTAGAAAACCAGCTCTGCTCTTTCAGGGAGTGAACTGTCTTCAATTTACTTGGACAGGATCATTTAATTCTGATTATAGTAATGCTTCACAGCACACTAGGAAACTGATTCTAGTATATTCTGCAAAAATTAAGGAAGACCCTGGAATTAGAGGCTAGACACAGATCTCTGGTATTGAATCCTTGCTGATAAACAGAACAGGGTTGCCAGGTGTTTGTGTAAATTACTTAGTTTAGATTCGAGGTTGGTAAAATTAGAATCAGCTGCGTTCTGATCTACTTATCATTCATCCACTCTTTTTAGAAAACATTAAATTCATCAGTCAAAATTTGATAAGAGGCATACTTAAGTAGCTGTAGCTTCCTCAGTGCCTGTGTTTGTGGCAGCTAGATTTACATGGAAGCAGAGAAAACATGCAATTTTCATAAAGTAGACTCCAAGTTCAAATACCTTCTGATTGAGGAGTAATGAACAACTTTGAAGGCCTGTGCATGTCTGCCCGTGTCAGGAGAAGGCCTGTTTTTCTGCACTTTCTGTGTCTTCCTCATTGTCAGTACTCATTAAACATATGTGAAATTGGATCATATGTTTTAATTAAATTTAGTTTTATTTTGTTTCTCAATTATTTGTTCAGAATTATCCGCATTCATCAAACATTTAGTCTTTGGAATCCCCATCGTGACAACATCTGAGAGATGGGACTGCCTTGAAATGCCAACTTTGGGGCTACTAGCAAGTGGTCTATCTCCCTTATATAAGATTCTAGAAATAACCGCCTTGTGAAGAGCAGAGTAGTAGTGGTTAGTTTCAAAAGGTTGTTATTTGACAGTAAAAGTCATTTCATGAGATTCCAGGTTTAAAAAAAAAAAGCAAGTCATTCTTCCTCAATACAACCATCTCTCTTTCTGTGTTCCTAAAATCCTGGAACTTCCTAGGCCAGATGGACTCAAGGCGAGGTGTTTATTTGGGGGAGGAGTCCATGGAGAAGGTCAAGAAGAATTGGGGAGATTTGCTAAGGTCCAGGTTGTGGTGCTGTTTCTGAAGTCCTTGATATCAGGCAACAGTCCATACTTCTCTCCAGCCCTGCTTTGAGGCTTTGTTTCATGTGTAGCATGATAAAATTGTGGCTTCAGGCAATGTGTCCTAATCAAGGACAAGTGGGGCGTCTGTGCCCTGGGTCTCACCAAAGCCATTGCTTTCTGTTTCTCAGGGGGACCCACAGTCAGTTGCCACTATAGTGGCAGCACCCCTGAGTCACCAACACAGTAGATGGTGCCAGCAGCAGCTGTTACAGACACTCCAGATGAGCTGTGTTCACCACTTGGCTTGACTTGGCCAAGAGAGCAGGTTGTGATTTAGCAATCTACTGGCCCACTCCTTTACTGACATATTAAACCCTTCCCAGCTCCATCCAATTTAAGCCAACTCTCGTCAATAACTTATATGCACATGTCACATTCATTCCATTAGAGCACCAACATCAGGCACTGCTCTAGGTCTTGGGGCTACAGCAATGACCAAGGGAAAAGAAAATCCTTGCACTGGTGCAGCTTAAATTCTAATGGAATCCTAATAATGGTGGGGGGTGTGGGGGTTGTTGCCTGAGAAAGTAGGTGATTGAAGGTATCTTTTAAAGAGATCCCTGAGATCCTTGCATACATGCCATGATATGCTTGCTCTCCCAACCCTGAATTCAGCTCTTGGTTTCTTAAATTCTTCCTTTGTCCACCTTCTTTCAGTTGAGAGTCTGGATGTCTCCATCTTTATGGGAACTAACACTCTTACAGTCCCCCCTTCCTACTGGCACAAGTTGGTGGGTACCCTCAGGGCCCCCTACAACATGGGTGTCACCTGGCTGGTGACCGTGGAATCGGAGGTGGCCGTGAACTCTTCCAGAGATTGGAAACTGGGCAGCAGGATGGGAAAACATGTCCATCATTATCCAGGTCGTTATTTTCGGCCTAATCAGCCACTTGAAGACATTTTGGAGATTTGCACCTTCCCAGAATTTCTAAAAGTGTGGATCTGAGAGGTAGTGGGTTCTGAGGACCCTGTCCCAACTCCATGCTTAGGAAATCCAACCAGAAGCTTTGGGGAGAGGAGGAAAGGCCTGGAGATGGACCTTCTGAGGTGTTTGCTGATCTGTCTGTAGGGACTTTGCCCCCTCACTTTTCATAATATGTTTTCAACCGGAGCAAGGTACTTTACTAGGATCTGTCAAGGAATGGCAGTGAAGTGGCCCCTTCGATGTTTTCAGATTGCCAAGAACTCTTCGCTGGCAAATGAAACACCATCTGTTCTGTTCCAGGAACCAACGAGCTATTTTAGATGTTACTTGTTCATAGAGATGAAGTCTGAGACATTTTCACATTTCTCCTTGATTTTCTGCCCCCTACGGTTTTCTTGTCTGTCTTTCTCTGGTTCTTGCTCCTGCCACTGGAATCGCACGTTCTCACTCCATCAACCAGGGAAGGCCATGAACGATCCCTCTGGGGCAGGGGGATGACCGCCAGGGGCTTCCGAATGGCAGCTCTTAAATGAAATCAGGCTTCAAAGGCAGAGGGTAACTGTCTGATGATCTCTCGCCAATTTATGTACCGTCGATGTTTAAGTCATAAAATGAAATATCCGCCATGCTGATTATTTACGCTTCCTCTGTTTAATTATAGTTTGAAAATGAGATCATCACCAAGCTGGATCATGAAGTGGAAGGAGGCAGAGGAGACGAACAGTACAAAGTGTTATTTGATAAAATGTAAGTGTTGATTAGCAGTGGGATTTATGTCGGAACAGAGACAGAGAGACTGTAATTAGACTACAATGAACTTCGTAGCCCAGAAATAATTAAAACGTGTTAATAATGGAAAATATTTAAAATTGCACCTCAGTTGAGTTTCTTTTTCTGAGTGTGATTAACAAGGTGTGTATAATTATTTTTCAGCCTCTTGGAGCACTGCAGGAAGCATAAATACCTCGCCAAAACAGGAGAGACTTTTGTGAAACTCGTCGTGCGCCTCATGGAAAGACTTTTGGATTATAGAACCATCATGCATGATGAGAACAAAGAAAACCGCATGAGCTGTACCGTCAACGTGCTGGTGAGTGAAACATTAATTAAATTTTCAATGTTCACGGAACACCGGAAAGTGAATCAAGAAGTTCCAAAGCCCGTGTGACAGCTGGCCACGGAGATTTCCACGGCAGAATGGATCTTCCTTTGCTGATTTCCTCGTCTGTTGTAGGGAAGGAGTGGTGACCTGTTTACAGACCCACTCTGGGTGTTTCCATATTGTTCTCCCTGCGGTCATGAATGACGAGCCACCTTATTTTGTAGCCCGAGTTATGCCTCATTGATTACAGGTCCTAAGGCTTTGTTTTTAGGAGACTATAATCATGTGCTATAGTGCATGGGTTCACTGGTGGCCCCCAAAAGGTAGGTCCACATCCTAATCCTCAGAACCTGGGTGTGTGACCTTGTTTGCAAAAAAGAGTCCTTGCAGAGGTAATTAAGTTAAGCATCTTGCCATGAGATCGTGCTGGATTACCTGGGGCGAGGGTGCCTAAATCCAGTGACCAGCGTCCTTGCACAAGACAGGAGAGGAGAAGACACAGAAACAGATGAAGGCCGTGTGCAGGTGGAGGCAGAGATTGGGGCAATGCGGCCATGAGCTGCCAAACGCCTGCAGCCCCAGGAGCTGGAAGAGGTGAGGAAAGCTCCTTCCGTAGAGCCTTTGGAGGACACGTGGCCCTGCTGACACCTTGATTTCGGATTCTGGCCTCCAGAACTGTGAGAGAAGACCTGTCTCTTGCTTTAAGTTTGCAGTAATTGGCTACGGCAGCTGCGGAAAACCAGTGCTGGGTAGTGCAGAGAGCAGGTGGCCTGGGTGACCTTGGCTGCTGCCATCTGTCAGGCCCTTTGCATTCCTGCTGCAGCTGTGATGTGGCTGGGTTCTGTCCCATGGATGCCCTCTTCCTGACGTAGCTGTGATCCCAGTGAGGCACGTCCAGAAACTGCATGAGGCCGATGAGCTTTTAGGAAACTTTGTCACAAGCTCAGCTCCAGGAGTGGCAGGCAAACCTCGTGGCTCTCAGCAGCCACGTGACCCTCATGCCTGGTTTCAGGGCTCTCTGCCCCTTCCCTGCTGCAGCTCCTAAGGAGCCAGAAAGGCTGACTCCTGGCTGTGGTACGGCTTTCCTCAACTTCTCTTGCTTGTCCCTAGGCAGGAATCCAAACACTACTTCTGCGTTGGTTTGCTTTGCTTTGCTGGATTTCCATGTCGCCACCTGATCACAGACCACATGTGGCTACAAAGCCCTCACTTCCATGTCTGTCCCTTCTATGGACCTGCAGGCACTTTGAGCTCACAGAAACAGACTTCTGTTCCAGGTGGAATATGACACATCATTTATTCTTTAAAAAGTCCCCAGAGATGTTTGGATTAAAAGGATAAACCAAAAGGAATGTCTTTACTTCCTGTTCCCTTTGGTATGGACACTGGATTTGTACTTTGCCATGAGGAACTTCGCAGCTGAAAGCCCATAAGCAGTCTCAGCCCCTGCGTTCCATGGCTGGGCAACCTTTTTAGGCTATTGATAAACATTTTCCATAGCAAGTTTTCTGTTCCTTAAAAATCTCAATATGAGGGACTTCCAATTTCTGAGTCAGCATGTGAAGAGCTCGGACATCATCACTCCCATACTCACAGCAGGAAAAATGCGAACAGACTGAAAAATCAAACTCTTCTTAGAGTCATCTGCTTAGATCCACAGGACAAACTATTGCCCCCAAAACTGGAGAAACGGGAATCCAGAGAACCACAGCCTTCCAGAGCAGAAGCCACTGATGGAGCTGGTATTAGATTCGTTTTCCCTAGTGCATTCTGTTCACGTCGGATACGTCATTACAAGGCATACTTAAGACAGAAACACAGTTTGGAGAGACAGCACAGGTGTCTAGACCAGATTCCGATATGGCAGAGATTTTGAAATTATCAGACTGGAAATTTAAAACTGTGATTCGTATGCTAAGGGTTCTAATGGAAAAAGTGGATAATATGCAAGAATGGTTGGGTTATATAAGCAGAAACTCTAAGAAATAATCAGAAAGAAAGTCTCAGAATCCAAAACACTGTAACAGAATGGAGACTGGCTCTATGGTCTCATTGGTCAACAGCACACAGCCAAGGAAAGAATCAGTGAGCCTGAAACATCTAAATATGTTTGCATGTACACCACGAGGGTCTGGGACAGCTTGTGTCTGTCCCTGAGGTCCGGCCTGCTGGCTGGGTTTGTCTGCACATGCACCTGTCACCTGACTGTGAGTAGGACAGCAGTGAGCTCTGCCCCAGGCCAGGTGGCCTGATCTCACACATAGGTAAGCACCTGGCCCTTGCTTCTTTGTCTTCTTGTATTCTGGCCTCTGTTCAGAGTGATTTACTTTCAGGTCACTGATGTCATTGGCATGAAATAGAAACTAGTATTTTTTTATGGGGAAGAATGGAGAACTTTTCACAATCATTCTCTACTATAGACATAATTTTACAGTGCTACCTCCGATCCTTAAGGGCATCTAAGAGGCTGATTAGTGTCCAGAAGGAAGAATTATTAATAAGTTTATTAGGTGTCCAACTTTGATGATTGAGACTTCTATTTGTCATAAGCAAGATCTCCCAGGCTTACCGGGACATGAAACCTCGTGGAGGAACAGTGCTGTGCTCTGAATGTGGCCTCTTATCACCCAGATCCAGGGTCGGGAAGCAAACTCTTCCAATGACACCTGCAACCACAGTTTCTGACGTCGGCATGTGTTCTTCTTTCGATCCCGACTGGGGGCCTGCTTACTGCTACTGCCGTCAGCACCGGCTTGATCTCTGCTGAGAAACACACCCAGGGGCCGGTGATGTCTGACCTTAGTAATGTTCTTCAGATTGGAACATCCTGGATCATTTCATGAAGAGTCGAGTCTTCTATTCTTAACCATTTCCTGGGGATGACAAAATAAATCCCAATCTGTCACAATTTTTCCCATTTAAAGATAAGACAAATTTATGGAATAAACAGAACCAAGAAACTAGAGTTTTATTTGTTTGGACATAGGTGTCCTAACTCTAAATATTCACTGTGCAGCTCACATATATATGTGTATTGCTATTTCCTGGTCCATTTTTACCTTTTCTGCTGGTACATTTATTACAGAATCAGAGTTTCCTGGAGATGGATGTATATATCCGTCTCTAAAAGAGTATAGATATATAAATGCATATTAGACATGTATAAAATGCACTCAACTACTTGCTAAGCAGAAATCCCCATGGAATCTGAAGCTAAAAAATAAAATAAAGAACATGGAATGTATCAATGCCCTTTATGTCCACTGCCAAATTTCCTTTAGAGCCGGTGCTGTGGTTTTTTTCAAAAGCAGAGTTAGGGGAACATTATATAATAAGTTATGATTGTTCATTAATGTCCTACTTCTCTGCTTTTAAAAAAACAAAAAGAAAAATGAAAATTAAGAGACTCTGCCCAGACACTTATGTCCCCAGAATGTCCCTTGCAAACATGTCTGCACGTATATGGGATCTCAGTTCCCACCAGACAAAATGCATATTTGTGGTTCTTTAACTAGCATTTCATTGTCACCTGATAATCAAACAGTCTTTAGTTATTGGTCAATAAATTTGCTGTGTGTCACCTAGTTCTATGCAGTCATAACATATCCCATCTGTAAGACTCGTGGAATTGTCGTTAGTTCAGTGAAGCCAGTCATTCTCTTCATGGCCTCTTTATGAGGCTAATTCGTGCAGGGTTAGGAAAATAATTCTAAACATCTTGGTATCTGTTTTTTTCATGAAGGAGTACAGCATTAACATATAATGCAAATGTCTAAATTCTGAAGGATCAATGCCTCGCAGATGAGAGTTGGGGAACAGTCCTGCTGGGGTTCCCCTGGGATCTGGGCACAGACGTCAGTCAGCGCTGGCGTGGGGGGGCTCGAGAGAGACACCAGTGGTGGGGTGAGAACGCTGCCCGCAGGGCCCAGAAGGAGCGCGAGTGCAGCATGAACTTTTACATAAGAAACACGGGTTTTATATAGAAATTGGGATTTGAGATGAGTGTACTTCGGTTCGAGAGGGGTTTTGAAGTCCTAGGAAGGGAACAGAACTCAGTACAGGCAGAAAATAGAAGACATTTCTGTATCTGAGGGAGGAATGAAGGTCGTATGATATTCACATTGTGCAATTGTAAAGGAGAATGATCAAAACCATAGAAAGGATTAAAAATATGAGTACAAAAGTGGATGGTGCGAAACCACGGCTTGTAAATACTGACGAGTTTGAGTCAGAAACGAAGGGCTCTTCCTTTGATGCCGATTCTCTTTGTTGCGTCGCTCCGAGTTGTCAGCCAGAAATATCCTCATTACCGAGCCGTGGCATATGAACTGGAGGACATTAAAATGTCAGATGCAACAAAATTTGAAAATCTTGGTGCATTTTTCTAAATATGCCCCCGCTTATTTTCTATACTTATCATTTCTTTTCAGAGAGATTAATCTTGAAGCAATGTCTTCTTTTGCTTATGAAATTAAAGAGCCTGTGTCATCTTATAAGATGATTGTATGTCTTTATAATGGCGACATTTGCCAGTTGTTCTGGCACTGACTCCAGAGCTCCAGCATTGTTTTTAGGTGCTAAATGGCACATTGAAAGTGGCTATGGTGTTTCCGTAGCTTAGGCCGTGGGAGGTGACTTCTGTACCTTTCTGATGCCTCAAGCGTGATAAAGATTTTAAAGTGATTATAGAGATACTCACATTAAGAAATATAATTTTGTCCGGATGCGATGACTCACACCTGTAATCCTAGCACTTTGGGAGGCTGAGGTGGGAGGATCGCGTGAGGTCAGAAGTTCAAGAGCAGCCTGAGCAAGAGCAAGACCCGTCTCCACAAAAAATAGAAAAATTAGCTGGGCCTGGTGGTGTGTGCCTGTAGTCTCACCTACTTGGAATGCTGAGGCAGGAGGTTCAATTGAGCCCAATAGTTCGAGGTTGCAGTGAGCTGTGATGACACCACTGCACTCCGGCCTGGGCAACAGAGCAAGACCCTGTCTCAAAAAAAAAAGAAAGAAAGAAAGATAAGAAATATAATTTTTATGGAAATGTTTATGGTCATCCAGAAGATATTTTACAGTAATATGTAGAATTAGCCCATTGATTATAATCCGTTCACTAACCTTTCTCCATCAGTATTTACACACAGGGGCTTTTTCAGTGGCAACTCATTTTGTTCCTGTGGTTTGGAAGGTCTGTCTGTCTGGAACAGCTTTATCCACCAGGAATTTCTGGGATGATGGAAATGTCCTGTATCTATACTGTTCAATATATTATAGTAACACTAGCCTTACGTGGCTGTTAAGCACTCCAAGTATGGCAAGTACAGCCAGGAAGGGAATTCTTAACTTTATTTAATGTTAATTAGATTTATCTTACCTTTCAATATATGTGACAAGTATGTTGAACACCTCAGGTCTAGATTATCATAAGGCCTTCTTGTGGCTCTTGCTGCGGCCGGGCCCAGCATGCTTTAAGTCACATTGGTGATGTGTATTTGCTTATTGTCAAATTTGGGATATTTATTCATTCGTTCATTTATCCTAATGAGATTACAGTGGTTAAGATATCACATCTCTGGGCAGTACTTTGTTTTAACTAAAGACAAGTGACTTTCAAATGACAGAAGTAGATTTTAGCCATCACAGTGTTCAATGTAGGAAATATGATCATTACAGTAACAAAAAAACGTGCAGAACAGTGTAAGATGGTTGTGCAATTTATGTGAGTTTATGGTTCTAATCCAAAGGGCTGGGTCCATTAGAATGTTTGACATAAGTTGAAAAATCTTGAATTTTTATTATATATGTGACACCTTTTGTGGAACAGGTTTCTTAAAACAGTGTTATGGTTTGATTTTTCAGAATTTCTACAAAGAAATTGAAAGAGAAGAAATGTATATAAGGTACATATGCTTCATGCCTGTCTGTACTCTGTATGATTATAATTGCTGTTTGTCAAATCCATGCTAAGAAATGGTTTATAACCACAAAGGTTTATTTTATAGAAAATTGTGAAGCCTGTAAGATTGAGTTTGGTGGAGCTCCCAGATGTATTCTAGCCTTTGTGTAGTTTGTCCATACCGATGTGGAGTTTTTGGTGGTCACCTTTAGCCAAATCAGAAGCAAAACTATAAATGATTATTTTACAAGGCTTGTCTAGACCAACTCATATGGCCCTTTGGAAAAAAGATAGCACCAAAAATGTTAATGTGAATGTAAGTCATATGATCAAATGAAAAATACAGTTATAAATAGGCAATGTTATACTTTTTCAGTCTACTCTTACTTGACACCATATTCCCATGTTTTCAATGTCTTTTTCCCATGAAAGAAGAAAAATGTTTTGCTTTGCCTATTGGATTTTGTTCCCTTTCTTGCCTTTGTTCTTAGAGCAGTAAACTGTGACCAAGCCCCTCTCTTTCTTGGTCACTGTTAGGGTCCAATGTCAAATACTTAAGAAGATTGCTACTTTGAGGAATAAAGAGATAATCCACATGGCATGAGTATTTAATGATGTATTTATTACACTGAGTGGCATTGGCTGATTTTTTTTTCCTAAGATTTTTTTACTTCTCCTTTAAAAAAAAACCTTACAAATTTAATAAACTGAGAAAACTATCAGTTACTTTTGTTTCTTCATGGCACAGAAATTCTTTTGATCACATTCACTGTGATCATTGGAGCTCTGTATTCTTATGGATTTGTATTTTCATGGATTTTTTTGTGCATTTAGATTCAGTAGAAATGTAGGAAATCATAATGTATTATGTAATCTCTCATTTCAAATGTTTGAGGAAAAATCTGGAAAAGATGAAAAGGAATGAGAAACCTTGAAGTACAATTACCATCTTCATTTTTGTCCTACAAAGAGAGGACTTAAAAATCTTTTTAAAATATGTGTTATTATATATTGCTCTTGTTGGTTTTTCTTAGTGCTTTCTATACCAAAAGTTTTCAAGGTATTATGAATTATGAACATTGTAAAAAGAAAGTATAGATATGATTTACTGTTGAATATAGAATTTAGCTCTTGCAATCCTCAACACAAATTATTCAGTGACATTTTAAGAACATACCTCTATTTTATCATCTCAGGTATCTGTATAAACTCTGTGACCTGCACAAAGAGTGTGATAACTACACTGAAGCGGCTTACACATTGCTTCTCCATGCAAAGCTTCTTAAGGTAATGGAAATTACCACACACTTTGATGATTCTGTTGTTACAAATTCTAACATTATGCAGCATTTTATTATTCTATGACAAATTTTAGTAAACCTGTAACTTAAGGTTTTATGAATATTGACTAAATGCAATGACATGAACACAAATATTTAGGAATTACCTTGATTATAGATTTGGCCCTACTGAATGCAGATTTAACAAGATGTCATAGCAGGTTATCACTAAGCAAGAGAAACTCCCATCACTGGGCTGTGAGCTAGCAGCGAGTTAGAGATCCTACAATTCCTTATTTATGCCAGCAGGACTCAGTAATGGTAGAGAACAACTTCAATAAAAAGGAATTTCCCTGGTAGAACAGGTGAAAGATAGGATGAGACATACCCCTAATGAGTCAGGGAACAGATCATGACTTTCTATCTGTCAGCTCACTTTGAGACCTCCTGTTAGTGTTCTCTGCCTGATTCTTCTAAAGAGTGTTGCTCCCGAGCATAGGTCTGGCATAACAACTTTCAACCTTCAGTGGTTCTTTTAGTTAGCAAATACCTTTAGACATTGACTTTTTTTGTGTATAGTGATATATTCATGCTCTCCCTGTGTCCAGTTCCAGCACAGTTATTCATACTGAGGATCAAGAGTGGATCCTCAGCAAATAACTAGAATGGATGGATGGACAGGTGGATGTGTAAATGGATGGACAGGTGGATGTGTAAATGGATGGATAGATGGATGGATGGATGGATGTGTGGGTGAGTGATGTGGATGGATTAATGGATGGATATGTGGGAGGGTGGGTTGTTGGATGGATGGATGGGTGTGTAGATGGATGGATGGATGTGTGGGTGGGTGGGTGGGTGGATGGATGGATGAGTGGATGGGTGAATGGGGGAATTGCTGTATAGCCTCTAGTTTTATATTTCAGATCTTTAGCAACTCATTAGATTATCTTTTTCATGGTATACTTACAAACAAATTAAAAATTATGAACTGGATAAACAAGAACAGTTACAGGGATTATAATTTAGTTAGTTGACCCTACACAAGTATAGCACATTCAAGGAATCGTGTTTCCAAATCCAGGCCAGCCTCCCAAACACCAAAAGTGAAATGAGAGAAAACTAGGCAGAGAAAATGACATTAAAATGGGCATTAAGCGATGCCAGGTGGGTAATGGGAGTTAAGGAGGACACTGTGTTATGGGGTAAAATTCTGGTAAGGCTCTTTCAGCCTTTGTCCCAATCCTGAAATTTCTGATAGTTTCTGTAATGCAGAAATACACAGGCTGCTCTGGAGACATCTGAGTGCGGAAATTTACCTCTGCCTGGAAACAAGAGGCTCTATTACAAATAACACATGAAAAACTCAGCTCCGACTGGATGTCCATCAAGTGTCCCAAGGATAGCTGCCATGTGATGCTCTCCCAGGGAGCGTAATTTAGGAAGATAGAGATTTCAGTTGGCACAACTGACACCAGCCATCCCCTCTGAATTCTGATGGCCTTCATTTATTAGAAATCCAAATTTTAGTAACAACATGTTTTTGCAAATGTGAAGATATTTCTTTTATCCCATGGGAATTAAAATGGGATTCACAAATTGCTCACTCAACTGTATTCTCTCTCTCATAGGACATAAACTTTTATATGCATATGTAAAACACATATATGTGCATAAACATATCATCTGTTTGATCACTGGATTTATTGAGTACAGATGGGTTTGTCACAAGCTGCATGATGGTTTGTTTCACAACCCAAATCGATAGGCCCAATTGCATTATCTTTTCCACTGGGGTTCTGAGTTTTCCCGTCAAATAGTGAATGTCACATAATCTCTCTCCATGTCTTTTACCCCATTACATTTTGCAGTTTTTTTCTAAATATGTTTTGATATTGCTATAAATGTGAATTCATGCTGGTTAATCAAATCACTAAAGAGCATAATTTGTATTGTTATGAAAATTCTTCAATATGACAAATATATTCTTGTTTGTAAATTAAAAATCCTCGAATAGAATCTTCTTTTTTGGTTAAGCCTATTTTTGGTCAAAACCAAGAGCAATGAAAACATGAGTTTTTAGCCTAGCAACGAAACTATTTCATCTCCACATTTAAGTGGAAGGTATAGAAGATTTTTGCTTCCCTATTCAATGTTTTTTGTTGTTGTTGTTACAAAAATGATTTAAAATCCAAGAAAGTCATTTGAATTCTGAACATTCTTGTTCTTAATTTATTTTATTGTAGTTACATTTTGTTCCCCCCACCCTCCAATTAAAGGAGACCATAACACCAGTTACGTTGTACAAACTCCAAAGTTAATGAGTTTGTCATTTCCGATTGTGGTGGGAGCATGCAAATCCGATTTTAAGGTGGAAAGTCTTGCAGACCAAGTAAAGGTTTCTCACTCCTACCTGGCCTTTGAACCTTCAGCCCTAGGATGATGCGGAGCCACTCAGGCCCCATGCTCTGCACCCTGGGATCCTGCATGAGGTGCTCCAGGCACCCAGGGGCATGTGCCAGGAAAGCGACCTGCTGATGGCGCTTGCCCTGGTGCCCAGACCGCCTGCTTCCGTCCTTTCTTTGCACCTCCCTCCCTGGCCTGTCTTAAAACAGGGTCAAACTGCATCTCCTAGGTCCAGCTGCTAAGCAAGCCCGTTCTAATCATGTCCTCCAGGGAGCCTCCCCAGCACACCCAGTGTGACCTTCTTGCCTCCCACCCTTAGGTGCCCAGGAAATCCTTTCTGTAGTGTTCTTATATATCATTATCCTTTCATGTGTAATCACACTATCATGGGGGCTGGGAGTTCCTGGAGGTCGGGCACTTTCTACCTCCTCTGTCACCTAGTGCTTGGCACATAGTAGGGCCTCACCAAATATCGGCTGAGTTTTATCGAACCCCGTATGCAATGCCATTGACTTGTTGGGCCGAAGTTCAGGAGTTCACGTTTTATCTATCAAGTGGCCTTGCCGTCATTCTGGCCAGTGTCTCCCCAGCTTTCTGAGACTCCCGTCGATCTGCAGCTCACACAGTCACTGCACCAACACTTCTGCAAGCACCAACCACGCCCTGACTCTGTGCCAGGCACCAGGCCTAGGACTGAAGGTACAAAGACACCTCCCTGTCTTTAAGGAGCTTGATAGCCTATCACATTCCTTTCTTGATGACTTGTAAGAATGATCCATGTACCTTCTTTGCTGCTGATTAAAATGTTGAGCAACACAGGACCGAGACCAAAGCCCTGGGGCTCCCGACTTGAGGCAGCCACAAATCACCTGCTTCAAATTTGCCCCAAAATGTTATGAGGCATTATTAGCAAACTCAGGATTCTACACTTTGCAGAACCTGCTGGGTTTTTCTTCTGTATAAACCCAACCACAGCTCTGCCTCCCTCTGGGCTTTCGTTCCTCTTGGGGCCTCTGGCCAGAGGTGCTGCCCTTGCATTCCCGGGCCTGGCAGCCTGTGACAGCAGCCACGTTTGTCTCAGGATCGGGCCCACATGTGTCCCCGGGTCGGGTATGTACTGAGTGCAGCCCTCGTGCTGCATCCTGACCCTCTCGGTGGGCGGTGACACTGTTGGACGTGCCTCCTCCATCCCCCCAGTGCCACTGACACTTTGCTCTTGTCTCAGTGGTCAGAGGATGTGTGTGCGGCCCATCTCACGCAGCGGGACGGGTACCAGGCAACCACACAGGGACAGCTGAAAGAGCAGCTCTACCAGGAAATCATCCACTACTTCGACAAAGGCAAGGTAAAAAAGAAAAAAAAAAACACAATATTTCTTCTGCTTTCCTCTTTATGTGCGCTTACCTACAACACTGTAAATGCATTTTGAAAAAGCATGATGTTTACAGAACCAAAAATTTGTTACATATTGTATATTGAAATGTTTTATGCATGTTTCTTCAGCTTGCACTTAAAAGTAGGCATCTTTTTTTAAAAAAAATCAATAGCCCTTTTATGGCTGCTCCGTTGTAAGTAAGGACTGAAAAAGCACAAGTATTTTTACAGTCCTTACCAGAGAGAACCAAGTCCAGGACACTGATTTGGAGGTGTTTCTGTGCCCTTAAAGCTAATGTACTCATTTGACATCTTGCATTTTTCTGTTGTCACTGAGAAATTAATCCTGTGGTAGGAGAGATACTGCTCTACCTTGGTGGCTTCTAGATGAATTGGCTTAAACAAAATTATAGATTCAGTTGACTTCTGCTGAAAGGAAACCTGCCATCATTTTAATCAGCCAGTATTATATTTTATCACTGTAGTTCTTGTGATTCAAATATGTAGTAACTATTTTAAAAAAAGAGCTGCTTCAGCTTCAGAAGTTTTTAAAATCTGCCACCAGAATGACGTCGGAGCTCCTTCCATGGCTTCATCAGGATTCTCAACTCATTTTAGAACCTGCTTTTTTTTCACTTTGAAAAAAGTGACCAGTGGACTCCAGGCAGATACCTATGTCCATGTCCTAGGGCTGTTGGAACAAAGCACCACAAACTGGGCAGCTTTAAACAACAGAAATTTGTCCTTTCATAGCTTAGTTCTGGAAGCTACAAGCCTGAAATCAAGCCTCGCTCCCTCCGAAGCTTCTTGGGGAGAATACGCTCCATGCTTCTTTCTCAGTGGTCTGGCGTAGCCGTCAATCCATGGCGTCTGTTGGCTTATGGACATATCGCTCCAATATCTGCCCCCATCATCACATGGCATGTTCCCAGAGTATGTCTTTGTGACCAAATGTCCCTCTTCTTGTAAGGACACTAGTCACTGGCTTAGGGGACAGTCCAGGACAACCTCATCATACCTGATTATATCCAAAGACCCTGTTTCCAAACAAGGTCACATTCTCAGGTACTTATCTTTTGGGGGACACAGTACTACCTACAGTAACACCTGTGCCAGGAAGGGATGATGGTTGTTAACATAAAGCAAATCCTTTTGAAAACAGTGACACTTAACAGGGTCCCTGTGTGATCACAAGCTTGGGACTCTCCTTACATCTGGAGTGACAGTTAGTGTATCTTTTATTTGTTCCCTACTGTCCTCGACACAGGAAGAGTCAGAAATCTTCAGCACAGCGTGTGGCCTGGCTGAAGGCCACTTGGAAATAAGGATCAGGAGTGCTGGGTGGATTGTACCCAGTCCTGTATTGAAACAGAATATATCTTTTTCATCGAAATGAGACTCTTTCATGATTAAGGCCAATTGCTAAAATTTTATTGCTTGGCCAGGGGAACCCTATCGCTCAGCAAACTGCTAATGAAATAGAGCGAATTCATTCATTCCTTCCCCATAGTGGCTTCATGGCTCGTGGTATTCTAGAGAAAGATGACCAGGTGCCGTGGACTGCACAGGGCAGGAGGTGCAGACCCCAGGGAGGCCCTGGGAGCCCGAGGGCCGAGGTCAGTAGGGCTGCAGGAACGTGCGCCTTTGCTGATAGCCACTGCCGGGCTCCCCTTGTAGCAACACATCTCTTCCCGCTTCGGCCCCACGACCTCTCCCACCTCATCTCACCCCCTGGCTCCCTCCTGGCTCCGAGCTTTCCGGCCACACTGCCCCTTTGGGTCTGGACATGCACCAGCCCTTCCTGCCTCTGCGCAGCGGGCCTCTGCCGCCCTTCCCGGGCCCACTCCTTCCTGTCTCAGCTTAAATGTCACCTCTTCTCCAGCCTTGAAAACGTCCTCTTCTTTTCCTTTAAGGCTCTGGCTATCGTCTGTAATAATAGATCTGCATGTTATTCCTTTAGTGAGTCCCCCTGGAGGCCGTGCGCTCTGTGAAGACAGAGGCCTCACGTGTCCCTTCCCCACCGTGTGTCTAGTGCTGGGAACCGTGCCGGCATACAGCACGCACTCCCTGGCACATGTGGGAAGAAGGAACAAACGAATGAACACTCAGCATTGACAGATGACAAATGCTCGTGTGTGGCAGGACAGTTGGCCTTCAATAAATAATATACTGAAAAACAGTCTTTTTTCCTTTTAGCAATGGTAGCCTGATATCTTTTTCTATGTAATAACGGTTCATCAAAAATAGTTCATATGGAGGGCAAAAAGAATGTGTTCAGTTTAGAATAGCGGTTTTCAGCCGGGACCCGCAGGAGACATTTGGGGTTGTCACAGCTGGAAAGGAGCGAGTGCTACTGGAAGTCAGGGGCTCAGGCCAGGGACTCCGCTAAACACCCTACAGTGCATAGGATGGCCCCCACCACAAAGAATTATACAGCCCAAGTGCTGTTAGAGTCGAGGTTGAGAAAGCCTGGCTTAGCAAAAGCTAATTCAAGTGACAAGATATTATAGGCAGCAAAAGGAAAACTGGCTGAAGGAATGTCCTCAGATGTCCCCATGTTTTGGTGGAGACAGAAAGACGACTGTATGTAAAGTGGTCAGTTGGCTGCCCTTGAGTCAGAGTGAGTTTAGGAGGATTGTCCTCCAAGAAGCAGTATCGGTAAAACAGATTGAAAAGCCATTTCTGAGCATCGGTAACATTTCCACGAGAATGTTAAAAAGGAGCAAAGTCTGCTTATCCATCTATAGCCAAGTGAGACTGAGTACAGGTGCTGGAAAGAGTCTAATAAAATGAAATTTGAAGCACCTGGGTAATTAGCTACATGGCAAAAAATTCGTTTTAATATCAACAAGCATTAAATTTTCTGGGAAAACTAGCAGTAGGAAGTAATTCTTCATCTGTATCAGTCTGGATGGGCTGGAATATGCTAGAGTTTCAGCCTCTTGAAATCTCTGTGGCTGCAAACAACACAGGTCTACTTCTCACTCATGCTACACATCCTTCCTCCTCTCTCGTAAGCCAAGTGAGTGGGGCTTCCTCCATGAGGGACAGCAGCCAGGGCAAGGGTAGTGAGGAGCTGCTGGCCCTTCCTGCTTCTGCCCTGAAATGACACCTGCATTTCTACTGTCATTGGCTGGCCCAGATCACATGACCTCACCTGCATTTCTGCTACGTCATTGGTTGATGCAGATCACGTGGCCACATCTGCATTTCTGCCATGTCATTGGCTGATACAGATCACATGACCCGAAGTCAAGGGTTGGAAAGTGCCCAGAGGGCAGGTGAATGTGAGCAGCAGCTACGTTCACCACAGCATTTCATGAGACAGGTGGGTGGGGTTCTCATCAGGAGTGTTTAAGGTATATGAGAAAGTTAATGTAGAAATTATCTAAGTGGGCATATATTCCAAGAAAGGTAGCATTCACACTAATGCCCCAAATAGTGTGGGTGGCTTCCTGCAACTGGAGCTGTGAGACAGAGTTGTCTCGTAAACCTTGGTGTTGGCCTTCGACCCTGGCTTCTCTGCAGGTGAGTCTCTTTCTTCCGTTGGAGAGGACCACTGGACCGCTTCCGCAGGAGCAGCTGGATGCGGAAACCTCACCAGGTGGGGAGGGGGAGGGAGGGGTCGGTAGAAAATCAAAGTTTTACACTTTGTGCCAGATTCAGAATCACTTTCATTTAGGAAATAAAGCCGGCGCTTGGGTGTCCCTGCCAGGTTTGGGTCTACACAGCAATCTGAGAAATAACACCCTTCCTGCCTTTTCTAAAAGCAGTGGAGTAAGATGAACGGCCAAGGCCCCTGCTGAAGATTAAGAAGCTGGATGTTGGGAGGGCCCAGAAGCACAAATTTCCAAACATTATTCCCAAATTGAAAATATCTCAGGGGGAAAAAATATTTGAAAATGGCTCACAGGTTATCACGGGCCTTGGTTGTCAGGTGACACAGCCTTGATTCGCAGGGCCCCCTGAGCAGTTGGGCGCCAGAGAAGCCGGGAACAGGGCCCCAACCCTCGCTGTCCAGTACTGAGCCACCAGCCACATGCGGTCATCGGGCACTTACGGTGTGACCACTCTAAACTGAGAAGTCTTCTGTGTACTTCTAAGACTTTGTGTGAAAAAACAGATGTTTTTATGGGCAGAGTTGCGTCCTCCCAAAACTCATATGTTGTCCTACCCCCTGGTACCACAGAATGTGGCTGTATTTGCAGACAGGGTCTTTTAAGAGCTAATTAAGGTAAAACGAGGTCATTGGGCTGGGTCCTAATTCAACCTAGCTGGTGTCCTTGTGAGAAGGGATTAGGGCACAGACACACACACAGGGAAGAGCAGAGAGAAGGCCTCAGAGCAGACCATGCCTGCTGACACTTTGATTTTGGATTTCCAGCCTCCAGAACTGTGAGCAAATGAACATCTGTGACTTAAGCCCCTCAGTACCCAGTCTGTATTTTGGTACGGCAGCTCTCACAAGTGTCACATTAATTTTTTTGTGTTGATTACAAGTTGACATGATAATACTTGAGATATGTTAAATATTACTAAAATTAATTTCACTTCTTTTAATGTAGCAACTAGAATATTTAACATAACACATGTGGCTCACATTATGTGTCTACCGGACAGCGCTGCTCTGAGCCAAGCACTTGGTTCTTGCTGTCACCAAGAACATTCTCTCACCAGCACACCTGTCCACATGCTGGGGACGTGGAAGCTGACTGCATAGCCTCTGGGGCCATCCGGGCAGCCAGAATTGCTTGCATGCCTATTGGTATGCATTCCTTACATTAAACAAATATTTGAAAAGCTAAAACATAATCTAAAAGAATTAGAAAACGGGAACCAAAGCCAGGAAGGAAGAGAATTTACGTCAGAATGACAGGGAAAAGCAGGATAACAAGCACCAAAGCAAGATTTTTGTGTGCGTGACCCAGTGCCATTTCTGTAATTTTGAAATAACTGTCAGGAGTAGGGTCA